GAAGAGGGAGCCTAGCTAGGGACAGGGAGTCAAGAGTCTAGGGTGAAACACTCAACTCTGTCTAGAACGGAAGGGTTAAAATGAAGAGTGGACGCTAGAGGGATTCTCAGCAGTTTAGCTGTTTATCTTATAATGTCGTGTTTGCGTGTACCAAACACGCAGCATTGCGTGTTTATGGCGGGGCGGGAGGAGTGGGGTGTACTCCTTACTGCGTAGGTTTGTGCATGTTGGAGTTTAAATCTATGCGTCTAACCTCACTTCACCGTAGTCATTGATAGGTAAACATTTCTAATGTCACTGTGATTATATTTTTCTGTAAGAGACAATAGAGAGGTCGGGGTATAGGAGGTCTGGGCCGCCGGACCCCTGGAGTACAGATAGTCTGGTTATACATACTGTAAAGAGGCAATAGCTTGAGGGGGGGCGCGACCTGCACTCTGCTGGGAGATCAATATGCCAGACCACTGTGGTTTATAGAGTAGGCTCGCACATGATGCTTCCCCCAACCTTGGTTCTCGCCCTTACTCCTGCCACGCCCATCCTCACTCCTTGGTATGCGCTTTCCCTAGGAGGTTTGTACCTTTAGAGGGGCTTTCCTCGTTCTGAATCTAGCAGTTCTCTCTCTTTTGCAAGTGGCATTACTCTTCTCACCCCTCCTCTTCTCCCAACCCCCTACTTCTCCTTCTCCTCCTGGTATTCACCTGATTCCCTCTCCTCTTTCTCTTTCTGACCCCTTTTCTTTATGACTCCTCCTCCTCCTCATCCTAATGACCCTGTTTTTGTTACCTTTATATTTTTTTTTAGATTCATTCCATTAGACACTGAGCCATTCCCGAAGTTTGCTCAGGTCATCCAATATCATTTTGGAGACACTCTCATTCGTCATTACACTCGTCAACATTGCATCATCTGCAACCTCCGATGTGTAGCACTACTCTAGATTTCCCCAGACAGGTCGTTGACATAGATCAGCAACAGTATGGGGCTGATGACTGACCCTTGCCGGAGCCTGTCATTATGAGGACACTCCGGGTTATATTAGCCGGATTTTGTAGTTTATACATCAGTCTTATGATCAAAACACTCTGGTTATTTAGGAATGTTCTGTACTTGGAATTACAGTACTAATCTGTCTATCTGTCTCGAGCATGTGTGTGTGTGTGTGTGTGTGTGTGTGTGTGTGTGTGTGTGTGTGTGTGTGTGTGTGTGTGTGTGTGGGTTTACTATTTTTGCCTGCAAAATCGAGCTATTACCTCTTAGACCAGTTACTGCCCTTCCTCAAGATGCAACCCACAACAGTTGCGTATCTCTCGGGTATCTATTTACTGCTAGGTGAACAGGTACATCAGATGAAAGAAAACATGCCTATCTGTGTCTGTCCCACACGGGGGGATCAAACAAGGTATCCTGGATTGCGAGTAGAGGGCATATATAGACGACTGTACTACGGGACCCATACGATGTGATAATACCACCTCCATATATACATGAGCGTGTGTACTGAATACATGTGTGCTCAAGATAATGGAGGAAGGGGGGGGGGGGGTTCCGTCGTCAGCAGGCGACTCCAGGAGCGTCTGGCCCTACCACTCCCAAGTCCACCATCCGCCCAAGACTCTCTCCATTACCAACCGAGCGAAATAGCGGCAGAAGGTGTCGTTGTATCTCATTTACATTCCCAAGTGAAGCCGAGCCTAACCGGTTCCCACATCCGGGCGGGAACCAAGGCGTAATCCCACACCACGGAGAGCTGATGAGCTCAATAAGGCTTCCTACGCCCCCTCTCCCCACCCCCGACACGTGTACTCCCGCCTCCGCCGGGCTAGTAGGCTAAATTGGCGGATTAGAGGCGCTATATGAAACCTGCCAACTCGGTCTGATTTCACGCGCGGCCTCCCCGGATTGACGCCCTGTTGGGGATGAGATAGGATGACAGGAGGGAGTGGTATAAACATGGAGGAGTCCGCAGTCTCTCTGAGAGACAGACGGCACCGCTCCTGTGCCAGGTAAGTCTACTACGGGCTCACCATGGCCCGTGCTACTTGGAACTTGTTCAGAGTAGCTGAATCTATAACAACAACATCCGCAGTCTCTCACAAGTTACAGCCCCGCTCCTGTGCCAAGTAAATCTACTACGGGCTCACCATAGCCCGTGCTACTTGGATCTTGTTGTTCCCAGTAGCTGAATCTTAAACAACAACAACGCAGTCTCTACAAGGAGAGGGAGTATGAAGTACTAAACCTTTCACGACGTTTCCATCCGTCCTAAACCCTTATCAAGGTATTAGTATCCCCTATTTTGTCATATGAGTGAGTAAATAAATATTTCCATCCACGTTATTGCTACTCATCTCTACATACTAAATACTGAAAGAATCTAAAAGGACTTGGTGACTAGTACACTAGTTTATTGAAGATTGAGAGAAATGGCGCATTAGTAGAAGCATATTAAAGCTAGGTAAGTTAATTATCAGGCGAAAGCGCTTAGCCATTACGACTGTTTCACTTGGAAGAGATATGAAGACATCCCTTCCTATCGAGTCCTTCCTTCTTACTGAAGAGATATCCTCTGTCCTATTGAGGAAAGGACAGAGGATAGGAAAGTGTGATTGAAACACAACAATGACAGGCTCTTAGTGAAGTATGCGAGAGTTATTCATGTGATGACGATACATGATGGGAAACTTTTTTGCCCTATAATATTATATACATATATGTATATAATGTACTGTGGTGAGCGTGGTACTCCGGAGCTGGAGCCCCCAGAGGCAGTTCGCTCTTGCCTTCAACCTCGTTCTGACCATTCCTGCGACGGAGCTGGAACTAATCGTATTGACGTTTGCCTTTCCACTGGAGACTTTCGGCGCCGTGGAGAGAAGGAGGGGGGGACCTGCTGCATGGGTAACAGCTTCTAACCCATATCAACCTACCCAGGCTTTAAGCCCTAGAGAGGCCACTTGCAGACCGACAACCAGAGTAATTCCATAGTCTTTTGAGACCGATGGAAGCCTACTACTACTACTACCACCATGTACCTAATTGTTAGATCACAGTACTCGGTCTAGTATGCATGCCCGATTTGCCTAATAGGCAGAGTGATTTTTGTTATTTAAAACAAAAGTTTCCAATTGGTTTACTTGAATTAATATTTTATATCATATTAATAACATAAATTGCTGAATTAGTTATGTTAGTTTATAGTAGGTTAACATAGGTTAGGTTAGGTAGAGAAGGTTTGGTCATGTTTCTACGTTAATTTGAACTCAAACTAAAAAAAAAAGGAATTCATATATAATGTAATGGAAAGCTATCATTTCATAAGATAAAAAATATATATAATTACAGGAAAACTTGGCTTATTAGGCAAATCGGGCCTTGCATAGTAGGCCAAGTAATGAGTTCTGGCTATTAGGTACGACTGTGTGTATATATGTGTGTATATATATATATATATATATATATATATATATATATATATATATATATATATATATATATATATATATATATATATATATATATATATGTCGTACCTAGTAGCCAGAACTCACTTCTGAGCCTACTATGCAAGGCCCGATTTGCCTAATAAGCCAAGTTTTCATGAATTAATTGCTTTTCAACTACCTAACCTACCTAACCTAACCTAACCTAACTTTTTCGGCTTCCTAACCTAACCTAACCTATAGAGATAGGTTAGGTTAGGTTAGGTAGGGTTGGTTAGGTTCGGTCATATATCTACATTAATTTTAACTCCAATAAAAAAAAATTGACCTCCTACATAATGAAATGGGTTGCTTTATCATTTCATAAGAAAAAAATTCAAGAAAATATATTAATTCATGAAAACTTGGCTTATTAGGCAAATCGGGCCTTGCATTGTAGGCTGAAAAGTGAATTCTGGCTACTAGGTACGACATATATATATATATATATATATATATATATATATATATATATATATATATATATATATATACACACACACACACACACACACACATTTCCAAGTGATTACAATATCGTTACCGAGTATTGGGTAAAATATTTACGTATAAGAATTGGATTTTGCGATAATGGAACATAATTGAATGACAATCTGCCAATTCATGCAGGGCAAACCCAGCAAAACTATTATTTACTGTCTTCTGAAGATGAGATACACCCAGTGTTAAATTATAATTTATCTGGGATGAAAAAGGTTAAAGGAGATTTTGTCATTTCACCACTTTGTGATCCAGTAACATAGCTACCTTAAAGGACATAAAACTTCATAAAGTCCTCCGTTAAAAAGATACTTAGATTTGAGGGAAAGCAACACATAAAAGTCGTGTCTGGTAATGAAATTGATTTTGTAGATTTTGAAACGAATGTAGAATGTGAATGATGTAGACGTTTGCCCATGACTTTAGGTACTGTATGTTCTAGCTCTATATATAAATCCAACATTATGTTTGTAACTCATCTTCTGTGTATGTACTTTTACCTGAATAAACATTTTGAATTTTGAATTTGAATTTTGAATTTGAATTTTGAATTTGATTTTGAATTTGAATTTGATGTATCACTATCCCTGGTATATCTAGACATTCTTGAATACTTTGTACCAATAGGTGCTACTACGCCAGTCCGTCCTCTCCAGGTGTCACAACGGACAGAAAATGATGTATTAAATTGTCCGAACCTAACCGATGGAGCCAACGCATAGAAAATGTAAATGTCTGCGAGCCGCTATGATATATTGTACATCATATTTTGTTCCGTGGAGATTTTTACGTCAAAATGCGATGAGTTATTCGACAGGAAAGATTGCGCTCCTGTTTTTCTTTCAGAATTTACTTTCTTTACCATGTTACACTTAAACACGAAATTACACTACTGCCAATTATCAAACAAAATTCAATGTTTCAATATTTTTGCAATTACAAATTCAAATAAATCGTTTTCTATTGCATTTAAATGTTAAAGCCAATAAGAATATAATTGTCTTGTCTCTCCCGCAGATGGCAACACCGGAGGCGAACCTGACGGGCGTGCGCGGGTCCGGGGACGTGAGCCCCGGGCACGCCCCGCCTCGACACCTCCACAACTTCAACACCTTCCAGTTCGTATCCCAGTTGGTCTCCGCCACGCCCCCGTACCTCTTCAACATGTCGGCGCCATTCCCAGGCAACTTCTTCAGTGACCTACTGCGTCGCATGGCTCCCCGCGCGGGCACGCCCGGGCTGCCCCCTGATCAGACCCTGCAGCAGCACATCCGGGCGGCCCTGCTGGCCAAGAGCGCACCCCCTCCCCCGCCCTCGCTGCCGCCCACGGTCATGCCGCCGCCGCTGGACCTGGCCGCAGCCACCCACCGCTCGCCAGGCCCGCCGCAGCACCATCATGAGAAGGGCATCAAACGCTCGCTCTTCTCAGACGTGTCGGCGCTCAGCTCTAGCGAGGACGAGGGCGGCGCCAAGAGACCCCGCCTGGAGAGTGAGGGGCGGGAGGCAGACAAGCACCCCCCTGAGGGCCTGCCTGCCCCCTTCCTCATGCAGGCGCCATTCCTGCCCACTTCAATACCCCCTCCACACGACATACTCAGCCCATGGTCCGCTAGGGCGTCGCTCCTCCGCCCGCAGGTGCCCATGGCTGCCCATGTGCCGCCCACGCCCCTGGACCCATACCGTCTCCTGCTGGACCTGCGACTGGCCGGCCAGCTGCGCACCATGGCCGCCACACAGGCTCTCCACAATAAAGACACTCCTATAGGTGGAGGGGGCGGGGGCGGGCTGAGCCTCCACCCACCCATATCTTCCGCCCACTCGCCCCTCACATCGCACAAGTCTCTCTCCTCACGCAACTCGCCGCCCCTGCAGGAGTCACGCTCCCCACGGGACGACCCGCCCCCGGTGTCCGGGCCAGGTAGTATGGGCGTCCTACACGGCGGCGACGACAGAGTGTCCGCCTTCCACCCGCCCTCACGCCCACACCCCGACCCGGCCGACACCAGCGATGAGGACACAGGTGACCGCCGCAGCTGTAGCCGGAGCAGCAGCGGCAGCGGCAGCAGCAGTGCCAGGGAGGGGCTGGGGCCTCAGTACATCTTTAAGCACCTCACTCAGATATACCGCACCATCGACGGTCACAAGGTAGAGGGCAGCGAGGGTGTCGACGACCACCGCCACGACGAGGGCCGCAAGGACGCGCCCCCGGGCTCTCCTGACGGCAGCAGGGGAGGCAGCCGGAGTGACGGCCGTGCCGAGGGACAGCCCCAACAGGAGTCTCGATCAGATGTGGGGCGCGACGACGGCCGTACCAAGGAGGGTTGATGGCCGTCCATGTGGTGGACCCCGTTTCAGTCAACACCGTGGGAGGGAGCCCGTGGGCCCCCCTACCACCCCACGGGGGCCCCCACAGCCTCCTACACACCCACGGGTGTATAATACAATACATGTTGCCAAAAGAAACCCGGAGCCAAAGCTCACCTTTCATGATACATCCTCACTTTCTCACCTTCAATGTCATACTATTGTTTGTCATCATTTGCGCTTCAATGTTTTACTGAGTTCATCGTGCTGACGTCTGTGACGTCACGGAAACAACGCGCTCCCCTTTGGAAATAATCTCGCTAGTTATTCAGTGTTCAGTGTATAGCCCACTAAGAGAAATAAATGTCCGTTTTTATTACTTTCATCCATTTTTGATCATTCTTTAGATGCCAAAAAAGTAGTGTAGATGTATAGAGATCCTTATGTATATGAATTATGTCTCCCATGTACGCCAGACAGCCGGATGTGATGGGCTTACTGGAGGCTTACTGGAGGCTTACCGGAGGCATACGCACCTTTAGCAAGGGACGAGAAACAGGCTGTCACGGGCCAGATCTAACGAATTTACGTCACACACTTTCAATGCATTCTGGAATACTGTGCTTGCTTCCCACAATCAGGCAACTCTTGTCTGTTGGCTGAACCTACCGGCCCTGAGGTCACTAATTAAGCCTGCATGGCTTGGTGGATGTGACATCAGAGCTAGGCCATATCCTGAGTTACCTGTGCATGCCTGGCTGCCCTTCCCCCCTTTACTCTACCCTAGACTCGGCCTTTTCAGACTTTCATAAGCTAAATTTGGTTCTTCCTATCACGTGGGAAATCAGCAAAGCTTAGTATCTGTGAACGAGTGTTTTAATTGACCAAACTGTGAAGAACTATCGAGCTATTGAAGTCGTAATTTTAAACTATAGCAGCTAATGTTTCATGGACTATCTTGCAGTGATATTACAAATATAAACTGATGCTTCCGCATTAATTGGAATTATACCCAATTATAATTCTGTTTTGCGTTTAGCCTATGAAAAAGAATATTGAGACGAATACAAAGAATAGCGTCCGCAACACAACGGATGTAAACAAGGTCAACTTCAAGTATGTTTATTGAGATAAGCAATAAATACATCTCAAAGGGATAGAGTAGCTTAGGCTATTTCTACCCCCACAGGATGTAAACAATGCCCGAGTCCGTGAGTATGCTTCTCTGCAAGTTATTTTTTAAGACTGACGCTAAAAAAGTGTTACTTCTGCTTCATAGATATATAAAATACATCAATGGCTACTGAATTCCAGATATTCTTTGCTACATGTATGAAAACGTACACTACAAATGAACACTTCAGAGGCTATCACCAAAACGTGGCTAAAAGAACAAACCCCAACGTTAAAACAAAGTTGTTGCTACACACAGAGATCACACTAACGTGATGCATCAAATGAACAAATCCACAAGGGCCGTGACGAAGATTCGAACCTGCGTCCGGGTTCGAATTTTACCCTGTCATAGCTCAGTCGATTAAGGCAGTGTCTGGGATGCTCCTGGACGCAGGTTCGAATCCTCGGATACCATCCATGGCCTTGCAGAAATCTGGAATCACCAGCCACGTTTCTTCAAAACTACCGGTAACTCTGTTGGTAATCCAATCCAACCTGGCCGTGTAATTACATGCTATAGTTAGCAGTAGCGTTGTGCCAAGCAGTAATGAGAGCATGTCGATGAGTCTGTGTACTCACCTTTCTGGAACAATAAGACTCTACGTTATGAGGCTTGTCTACCAGCATAGGCTACTCAAATTAATAATAAGGCATTATAACTTTTGCCATCGTTCTTAGCTAAATTTGAGATGAGTTTCCAAATAATGCATTAAGATTTTAATTCACACACTAGGATTCAAAATAAGAATAAAAACAAACTGCACTGGCCATAAGACGCTAATTTGTATACTACTACTTCTGTACAGGTATTCGTCTCATCTGCCTTGATAAACGGCCACCAGAGCATATGACGCCAAAGTTAAAATACCAGGATGTCTCAAACAAATGTATACACATTTCAGGAAAGGACACTGTATTTTTGACTGAATAAAACATATAATTCAGAGAAAACAATGCTTTGTGTCACGTGGTCAACTAGAAGAGGTATTCAAACATTGACAACGGCGAACAGAGCTGAAACAACCCGATGAGGTTATGTTGAGATGATTTCGGGGCTTTAGTGTCCCCGCGGCCCGGTCCTCGACCAGGCCTCCACCCCCAGGAAGCAGCCCGTGACAGCTAACACCCAGGTACCTATTTTACTGCTAGGTAACAGGGGCATAGGCTGAAAGAAACTCTGCCCATTGTTTCTCGCCGGCTCCTGGGATCGAACCAGGGACCACAGGATCACAAGCCCAGTGTGCTGTCCGCTCGGCCGACCAGCTCCCCAGGTGATTATACTGGGATGATTATACAGGACAGGTTCCCCCACAGATTAAGCTTCGAATCCACTGAACTCCAGTCAGTGGGGAGGGGAATGGGGGAGGTGGTACTCAACACTTCTTCTTCTTGCTGTCCACCAGTCCAGATAAATAGCAGTAGTATCTATAGTTAAGCTCATCTTCATGCACCTGATGAATAATAAGGCATCAGGTTGCATCACTCGTGGGAGCACATTGGGTGGTTCAAGAACTAATTTGCATAATGAATACCAATTTTTCATCAAAGTGTGTATATATTATTTTGAGAAATCCTGTATATTAAAGTTACTAGCTTGATGTCGGCTTATAAAAGACAATCAGTGTCTTGCAATCAGTTTTCACAGGCTTCCAAATGTCCAAGATATACTCCGGTGAACACTTAAGGGGGCATATTACGGGTTTCGTAAAAATTGTTCAATTTGTTTATAAATTTATTTATTAAATGGTTATAAAAAGAGCTGCAACTGGTCCAAGTTTCAGCATCACACCCTAAACAGAAAAGGAGAAAAAAAATGCACAACGTATTATACAACGAATTTTCAACATTTTCAAATAATTTCAGGGAACACATGTGTCAACTAAAATTATTTCTATAACACTCAGATATTAGACTAACACATGATAATAGATTGTATTGATCAGTTTTATCAAAGAAAGTGTTTAGTGCAATAATATAATTTTTCAAAGTTACCCTTCCAAAAATATGCAATATATGATGTTTATAAATTTTTATAAAATCAACAAATGGACTTTGGACTAAAATGTCTCAATAGGTTTGTAGAAGCACAAACCCTACATATAAGGTGTAATTTGCATGTAAATAGATTAATAAATGAAATCTGAGAAACGCCTTGAAGTTGTAAATTACTTTCCAGAGTAAAATAAAGATCCAAGTTCGGCCACCTGTAGCTGAGCTTGACTTCGACAGATTTCGTTCATAATTGGCACCCTTGCAGATAGGCATCCATTGAGCAAGGTGTGCAAGTTTCATGCAAATCCCTTGATAACAAACGAGAAAAAAAATTAGCCAAAAAAAGAAAAAAAAAAAAAAAAAAAAAAAAAAAAAAAAAAAAAATTACATATAAATATATTGCACATACATATTACAATTATTACAAGAGTTTGTCCTTCTACAGCACATAGTAGACATTTTAGTTGACACATGTGTTTCCTGAGATTATTTGAGAATGTTGAACATTCGTTGCATAATACGTTGTGTATTTTTTTTCTCCTTTTCTGTTTAGGGTGTGATGGTGAAACTTGGACCAGTTGCAGCCCTTTCTATAACCATTTCATAAAAAAAATTATAAGCAAATTGAACAACTTTTAATTTAGTGTGATAAGCCCCCTTAAGCCGCGTGGGCGCCACTTGCAACGGCCCAATAGGAAAGAATAACCAGGGGCTCAAGACTAGATACCCCTACTAGCCCTCAACGCCATTCCTCGTAATCGCGTAAAAATAAAAATAATCTCGCTCGAATGACGACTTGCTCTCGTAACAATTCTTTAGTATGTACATAGCCTTTCCCCTTTTTCGATGCTTTCATGTCTCTTAGCCTATTATATGGCCGAGACGCGCGCCCGCTTCTCGGGGGTCGGGGTGAAACCGGCTACCGCTGGGGACGTGAACCCCACGAACCACCTCCTCGTCTTACGCCCGTCGTAGTCACTAAGATTACATAAGAATTGCACTGAAGAGTATGTTTGAACAGCCTCATCTTGGGATAAATGAGAATGGCCCAGTCACCACTGGTGGGGGTAACGAGGCTACTGGCAACCTAATATGTTAATTGTAATTAACATTAAATACAATAAGCTTACCTCACTCGGTAAATACATGTAATGGCTACCACCTAAACATTTATTTAGTAACATCAAGATGCATGAATGTTGTCTAAATTTAATTCAGTGTCCTAGAAAGCACCAAGAATGCAGCCACTGGCGGCTCAAGAGGTTCTCAGTGGTAACTGGACCAGTTCACTAGCCCCTTCCAAGACGCTTAATTCTGGTGCTTTTCATCGTAACGTTCATAGTGATTGTGACTTCCGTTTTGCCGCCGCTGCAGTAGTGTGACGGAAACGTCCCAAGAACTCTTAGATGAGATGGGTGCCCCCATCCCCCCCCCCTTCCCCCGGCCGACCCTCCAGTCGCAGGGGCCCGCCCGGTCATGTGTGTTTGTGTACATCTTCTCCAGTCAGTATTAGGGAAACTGTGTGTTTACGTAAGAAAACAACAGGTGACTGCCAGTCAGTCTGCCCATTCCCCCAGAGGGCAAAACATGCTCGAATAACGTCGAATCGACGTCGCTTGCCCCAACATGATCCCCCCCCCCACTCCCCCCTCTGGGCTTTGGCAGCACCTGGAATTTATACATCTATCGCCATATAGAACCATAAACATTTTAATCCTTACACAATGAAATCACAATAGCGTGATATGTCTATGAGAAAATATACAGAGGTCTCATGGGCAAGTTGGGTGTGTAGGACGTGGACCCCAAGACGATAGTTCCACCCCACAGCCCTTACTCCGAAGATTTTCCCAGTTGAATCCTTCTCTTGGCGCAACAGATAAGGAGTAATGTTAGTTATGGACTAGTGTTCACTATTAGTTCATGACTTAAGTAATAACAAAGCTTTCTCATCATCTATATAACTCTTTATCATCTACGTATCTCCCAAATCAAAACTACTGATATTTAACCCAACATGTAAAACGGTTAATAGTTCGTGCAATGTTCAAGAAACGACTGTGCTACATAATTGGTATTAAACACCTATGCATAATAAATTTTAAATTTACTAGTAAGTGATCGTACCTGTGTCTGAAGTAAACTCTGTATATTGTTGTCTTGTTTCTCATGTAAATAACAGAGGACGAATTTGAAGACCTTTGTTTTATTTAGCCTCGCCCCTAGTGTAAGTTATATATCTATCTCATATTTCTTTCTCTTACACCGTCTGTCTGCCTCTCGCTCTCTCTGAAAATAACCACAATAAAACACCTTATATCCTAGTACTACAGTAATGAATCAAAATGCATCGTACATTATGGCACTAAAACAACCCAGCCTAGTTGCCAGATATATTTAACCTTTGCATAATGTACAAAACAATGTTTACCTTCCTAGACGCCAAAGTTAAACATGCATATCAATAAACACTACAATCCACACATAATTTACTTTAAAAGACGGAATAAGTAAAGACGCTTTACTAAACCCCAAAATCAATCCGTATAGCCATCCTCTAACCAAATCTCAGTCACTACTTAGGAAATCCTCCTTCAATCTTCCACTGCCTATCTCAAAACCCACCTTGAGCCTTCCACTGCTTATCTAAAAACCCACCTTGAGCCTTCCACTGCTTATCTAAAAACCCACCTTGAGCCTTCCACTGCCTGTCTCAAAACCCACCTTGAGCCTTCCACTGCCTGTCTCAAAACCCACCTTGAGCCTTCCACTGCCTGTCTCAAAACCCACCTTGAGCCCTCCACTGCCTATCTCTTCCACAGCCACATCTATGGCGATGACATGCGCCATCAAGTGTAACAGTAAATTAACAAAAACAGACCCTCAAAATCAACTGATAAAAAACAACCGCACAATATCAATCTCAATGCACAATATCACAGGAACGTGATATTTCTATGAGAAACTATTGAGGTCATACAATGAGATCGAACTAGCATTCCCAGGACCCAGTCCTGTTGGTAGTGCCCGTGTCAGAGAGGTCCAGGGATGCGGGTTCGATTATACGGCTTCAATATTCATTCTCATCAATCTCAATATTGCAAAGAATCGCTTCTGATATAAAAAAAAAACTTCCCAGCCTCAATAATCAGAGGTAATCAAATATCATGTCAAGGACTATGTGACAACTTGTGATCAGCACAATACTTGCTGCAAGTTTGACCACGGTGCTTCAGTGTGTTAAAAACCAGAAGTGTTTTGCTGTATTTTCATGAAGTCAAGATATTAAAAAAGACAAGAACATAATAATAAAAGGAACTACAGAAGGCCTATTGTCGCATACAAGGTTGCTCCCATGAAACCGACCAGTACGCTGTATAAATTGTGGTGGAAAAGCACCCAGCCTATTTAAAGTCCTATGATAATTCTAAGAACAATTACTATGTAAATTTAAATCTAAAATAAAATATATATTGTCCAGATAAAATAATAAAGAAAAGCCTCTTCCCATCACTAATACAAGCCCAAACAATACGAACCACTCCCTAAACTTCCACTCACGCTGATTTAAATTCTACATAGCCCTTGCAAGAATAAACCCAACAGCCATATCGTCAAAAGCAGTCAGTTAGTTAGTTTAGTTAATTTATTATGCACCCCATACCCATCTTGTGGGGGGTAGTGGAAAGGGTTACAGAGGCACATAATGGGCCCAGGGCCTGAACCCCACAATTCATTTAGCTAAGCAAGTTACAGTCTTGATGAGCTAGTTACAAAATTCATCAATTCAAAAACTGATAATAATGCAAGTACCCAGATGAATTATCCACAAACCTTAAACTCTCCAAAACAATCTTGCTGCACACACAGTTACTGATGATTTTATTGATAAATCATCTTTATAAACTTATCAAGTTATAGATAAAAGGACCAAATATATTAAAAATACAAACCCTTCACAAAGTCAAAACGCATCTCACCGCAACGAGAGGAAAACCTATTCCTCTCCCCACGCTTGGGAAAAATCTACTCCAGTGACCTCAACCCCACCCACCATGATGAAGATACCTGAGGAAAAGGTACAGAAGTAGACCTTCGCGAACAATCCTCGTACACAACAAACCTCTAACATACCTTGTTAAAAACAACCAGCGTAGCAAACATAACGTTTAACACAAGACCTTCCCCCTTTGTTAGATGTGAATACAAATACTGTATAACATTTATCACAAAAGAGACCTCCCTTTTTTGTTAATGTGGCCATGCCACATTAACATTTCGCTTTTACACCAACACTCATTAAACCCCAGATGTCTAATGAACATCGAATATTCAGTATATATTTAATTTTTTATCCTAGTTTAAACATTAACATTTTAGTCGAATACAATATATCGATCATTCAATGATACATACGCGTATTTCATGATATAACAAACGAGCTTACTGTTGTAATAGATAACCATTTTCCATTGTATATATATATGCCAACAGTAAACAATGTAAGGGGCAGTTGCGAGGCTACATTATTCACGAAAATTGTCTAAGAAGTTTTTCTAATTAGATTGGTTGTTCTTTTCTCCCAGTAAATTTGAGGACGAACATCTATTAAATTATCTCTTATATTTTTTTACCACTACTGTATATTATTCAATCTAATAAAATCTAATCTACTGTATCTAATTCAATCAATAATTCAAACCACTACTGTATCTAATTCAATCAATTCAATTTAATTATTGTTACCCGAACCATTAATAATTTTAGATTGTAATAACCAACATGCTTTATTGGGCATTAACAATTAAAAACAAAGGCAAACTTATTTTACCACCTTAAATCCTTTTAGCATATTTATGGCTTAACTCACATAGGCATTACAATCAAAACAACTACATGTATAAAAGTACTGCATCTCTATACTCTTGTAGACATCTAAAACCTGGTAAATAATCGGCTAACCACTTCTTCCTCATCACTGAGATTTTGAGATATATACAAGAGTTGTTACATTCTTGTACAGCCACTAGTACGCGTAGCGTTTCGGCCAGGACCCTGGAATACGATCCCCGCCGCGAAGAATCGTTGTTACAACCAAGTACACATTTTACTGTTGCGTTAAACAGAGGCTACAGTTAAGGATTTGCGCCCAGTAAATCCTCCCCGGCCAGGATACGAACCCATGACAAAGCGCTCGCGGAACGCCAGGCGAGTGTCTTACCACTCCACCACGGAGACTATTTATATACACTACATTCTTTCTAATTTGCCTTTGCCAGGTGGCATTTTGAATGGGCAAACTTAAATGTTATTAACATTACCCACTATTTAATGTGATCAAACAAATGCAGTTATCACAGGTTCTTATCATTCGTGTCTGTGACAATATTCAATGTAGCCTCCTAACAATTCCTTGCTATTCATCCAAAACTTTAATTGAAATTTGTTTCATGGAGGAATAAAGAGTACCAGCGATATTCGCATCAACAAATATATCGGTAAAAAAAAGTCAGTTTAACAGACGGCAAAATAATTCATGGAGATAAACGCAAGAGCGCTGAAGATAAATGTTAACAGAAATTAATTATATCTAGAAAAAATAAAGATTGTGGGTAAATACAATAATAATAAAAAGAGCTCTTTTACTCCTTATTAGTGAATCTGTAACTACTGAACCAGTATCTACTGCAAATGAGCTAGTTAACTACCAACTGAATTTCTCTCTAAAAGAATTCCAAACCGAAATGCATTTATTATATTTCAAAACACATTCACATTAAACATGAATCGTTTTAAAGTTTTTAGCCGCTAAAACGAGCCATAAATTTACTGTAAAAAAAATATTGCCCTTAACCCGCTAGATGGTTGTCAAACTAAAATTATAAATATAAATACAATACAATATAAATATTTATAAATTTTAAAATATAAATACAATACAAATAAATTATAAATACAATATAAACACACCATTTTTGGTGTATTTCTGACAAGTCTTGTCGCCAATGGTGACACATTATTGTATTCACCTAGTTGTGCTTGCGGGGGTTGAGCTCTGCTCTTTGGCCCCGCCTCTCAACTCTTTCTACTACTACTATTTTTCGTGCCACACATGCACTTCAAAGGAAGCAGCCCGTGACAGCTGACTAACTCCCAGGTACCTATTTACTGCTAGGCAACAGGGGCATTCAGGGTGAAAGAAACTTTGCCCATCGTTTCTCGCCGGCGGCCGGGATCGAACCCGGGACCACAGGATCACGTGCCCAGCGTGCTGTCCGCTCGGCCACCGGCTCCCACATGTGCATATTCATGTATTCATGATAAATATAACACAATAAAGCTTGATTTATGGGCCGACATGAACTAAGACACTAAAAACACAAATATTCCAGTCTGTCATTCAGACAACTAAACAAAAATTATCCCTACCGGTCTAAGGGGCAGCAGAAGGATATTCAGAGACAGTATGAAGATGATTTATCTGGTTTTCTTAACTTGTATATAGTGGTGAACGACTCGGCACACGTCCTCGTCCCTCGAGTGACCAGCGCACACTGGTTCAGGGTTGCCAGATCCAAATTGCTGAAAGTAGCAAGCTGAGGGTCTAAAAGTACCGAATTTGCAATAAGAGTAGCCCAATTTTTTGTTTAGTGACTGATACAGGTTTCAAAGTAATATATAGAGTACACTACACGATTTTGAAAGTTTCAGCATTACTTGGAATACGAGAAAGAAGCTCTTTGCAAGCTTTCACTTAAATATTATGGCATCTTTCTTGAATATTTTGAAACTTTTCCTGGGTTATAAAATTGTTTTGTCTGTTAGTTGCCCGAAGTGTTGAAAATTCATAACCAAAGTCCACTTTCTCCAGAGGCCTACAATATGTAATTTGGACTACAATATGTAATTGTAGTCCAAATTAACATGAAGCTTTGCATGATGAGAATGCACGATTCTTTTGAGAATCGAGTGAAGTTTTCTAAGACAGTGTGAAGGGTACACTGATCTGCTTCGTCTTTTTGATAAAGTCAATTCATACTTTAAAAAGGATTTAGGATTGGTCTGAGAAATGTGAAATATAGCTAATTGGGGGATCAGAGTACATTGAAAAAGTTGCCTTGTAACACATTTATCACAAGAGCAAGAAGCGATTTGGTAACGAGTTGTTAAAGACTCCCATTGATCTAACAGCCACTTTAGACTACCGCTCCTTGCCAACCATCGTCTTCCTGACAAAGGTATTAACTGTAAAGGATGTTGCCTATCATTTATCAATCTGTACATTTCTAGATAACGTTCTCTCTTTAATGAAGATCTGTAGAACCAGATGTAACTTTCGGGATGAAGTATTAACGACAATTAAGGTTGGGAAATCTATGGCCCCTGGGGAGGATTACTTTGCCTTGCGGTTACTTTTTCTTTCAAAGGTTCCTAGGATCAACGTCCCCAGGGGCCGGTCTCTGACCAGGCCTTCTGTGGTAAGTGGTCTAGTCAATCAGGTTGTTTGACGCGACTGTGATTTGTACACATTACATTATAAAGGTATAAATAATCATCATTCAGTTTAACATTACTAGCCCAACTTGCTTTTAAAGTAGCCCAAAAAGTAGCAAGTAGCGAAATTAAAAATTTGGGAGCGCGGAGCTTTCAAAAGTAGCCCAATTCGCTACTTGTAGCTCAATCTGGCAACCCTGCACTGGTTAGGTCACCTCCCTGTAGCGCCTAGGAAATAGTTCCTGCATAGTTATGTCAGGCTCTACATTCTATTTTATCTGTCTGACATATAGGTACATTACACTATTATGTGGTATAAATCAGATCATTAACATTTACAGGTCAAATAATATTTACAAGTAGACAAACGATCGAGTCATTGTAAAAATGGGAATTTGAATTTGAACTATTTTATCCGTCAGACAGATATTATGTCTATTTAATATATTACATTACACTGTTATGTGCTATAAATCAGAACATTAACATTTACAGGTCAAATAATATTTTTACAAGTAACCAAACGATCGAGTCATTGTAAAAATGTGTATGTTTATTGTTAATTTAATCCCCCAGGCTAGAGCAGCAGCTGATAGTTCCTTTGCAGCAGCCGATTTGATTTTTTTGAAACTCTAGGATACATTCGTCAATTTTAACGTATTGAGTAAAAGAAATAGATTTGTTCTCATATATAAATTAATATTATCTGTTAAAATTTTATCTATAGTTAAGCGTGGGTTAAGTGTTTAGGTTCAGTTGGCAATCATTTGCATTTGATGTTTACGTTTGTTAATCATTTACAGCGTTGTGATTCGATCAGAGGTAGTCAACGAACCACTGTTCGAGAAATGTTCGAACGTCGTCAGTTGTGAGTCGTGTGTAAACTGTTTATCATTCATAAACAAGGGGTTTAGCGGCTTGATTAACGGGCATTTGGCCTTTGTTGATGAGGATAGGCTGTGGTAATTACCCTAATAGCCGTGATCCTTAATTCATGAATCGAATTGCCTTCCCCTACTGATTGGGGAATCCCTGCTTGATTCTAAAGTGACTTTCCCTTAGGGATATAAGATATCAATCTACAATTAGAGATTATCACCCAAAACTAAGTATCTTCGTATGACGGATAATTTGTCGCAAAAGGTCAATAATGAACTCATTGTCTGCATTACGTATACCTACAATAAAACTGTCTGAGCAATGTGTTCGTCTTTAATTACGTTACGTAATTAATATGAAAATTTATGCAGCAATTATATGAACACAAACAACTCAATGTGTATGGAACATAATTGACTGGAGTTCTAATAATCCACAATTACCAGACACGACTGTTTGATCCCATGACTACGGTAGATTATATATATATATATATATATATATATATATATATATATATATATCTTTAGTTATATATATATATATATATATATATATATATATATATATATATATATATATATAAATCAAGAAGTAGCAATAGACAGATGGTATATCCTACAGTAACTATGCAATGGCCATCTATGTACCCCTCTCACACCTTTAGTTAAACTGTTTTCGTCTATTTATTTTATGTTCTTGCCCGAAACGCTTTACATAATAGTGGTTTCGCGGAATGTGTAACTCTTGTCTCAACAATTGTGCATTACTCTTATGTTCTTTGTACACACACACATTCTTTTGAATAAAATTTTTTAATTGAAATTGAATTGAATCAATTACCTTACCTTACCTCAAAATGATAATAGACTGGCCATATGTGAAAACAATAATAGACTGACCATATATTAACATGTAATATTCGATAGGCAGTACATACATAAGAATATATAACCATATTTTCAAACGTAACAATGAACAGGCTAGACAGGCCAAATATCTAAAAGAAGCAATAGACAAGCCATATAACCAAAAGTAGCAATCGACAGGCCATATATATATCCAAAAGAGATGAACAGTGAATCAAGAGAAATCCTTGACTGAATCCCACAAGACAGATGACTGAGCGCCGTAATGGATCGCTCCCAGGAGGACTACGGAAGCGTTTGGGGGGAATAAGACCTACACCACAAGTGGACCAAAAGTTGTTCGAGTAACGAAATCAACGCTAAATCAACGTTGAATTAACGCTGATATAGTTTTACACCGACATCGTTTGTCTAGGTTTGGCCGATGGGAAAGGAGCAGTGACTAGGCTCCATGATGATGCTACTGGTAACACCATTTACATTATACAAAATTGCAATAATATACATGCTATATTATGCGTTTAGCTGCAACATTATATACTAAAACAATGCTGTTTGGCGATACACAAAATTAGGTAAGTTAACGGGAATTATCAGGAAATAATTACAAAACTCCAGGAATCTCATACCGTCAGAGATTACACCTAAAGTGTTCAGAATTAGTAACTTCATCCCTTGTAGCCACCAGCCACAGGTAACGGTAACCCAACCTGACCCCTCACAACCACTGTATGGCACTGTCTGTGCCCCATATACATAGGTTTCATATCTAAAACAAATAATTTTTAAACTGGGCCTTTGTGATTTCTCTCCTATCAGACCCAATATTGTCTTAATAACAAAGGAGATACCTAGATCTAGATTGCTATATTCAGTGCATCGGGAAAGTTATTTATAACTGCTATTATGAGGTTCTTGTTGTCTGTCTTGCAGAAGTTTTCAAATGCTTGAAGAGCAGATTTTGAATCCCACAATAACTCCTCCAGTGTAGAATAAAGATTATAGGCTTTTCCCCATTCTGGTGTTTTTCTAACTGGTTATCAACACCTTGTGTTCTCTCTGAATAGTCTTGCAGTGTTGTAAGACTTTTTGCAACATTATACGATAACGAGTCGGGTAATGAGTTATAACATTACCCCGACTTATGATAGCGTTATTCAACGCATTATAACATTACACAACGCAGTGTAAACATTACACGAGGCATTATAACATTACATTACGAACTACGTCATAGAACGGGATGAGAAATATTTGACATGTTCCAACTTAAGATATTATTCATAGAGTAACTTGTCACTGTGTTTAAGATACATGAAGCAAAGAGTGTTGATTGGCGTTACTCAATAGCCTATTCATCCCCCTTCCTTGACGCGATACAGTTTGCATGACGAATTCTGCTTTGACAAACCACACTCGCACATCATAAAACATCATCTTTAAGTCTATGTTGCGTGCTGTTTTGTGTATTTGCGTCTGGTATTGGGGTTTTAAATGATGTTTGCGTGTTCCAGGCGGACAATGCCACTCGCTGGGACCTTGAAGAATACATGAATTTGCTCAGAATTACATGTTATTTCGGGGAATTAAATAACGTCTTGCACCGGATTGTGAGGCTCTATCCAATATTATAAGGAGCTTTGCAATATTGCATGACCTCTTACGTGATGTCAAGTGAGATATCTTCATTTAAATACACACCTCATACACATTAAACTACTTAGCATGCAATGCAAAGTTCATTATACAATCTTACATGATGAAACGTAATTCATCTTTTTCTATACAGAATAGTTTTACGGTGTCTTACTGCATTATGCTACGTCTTAAAACATTATACAACATACACTATTTATTATACATACACTATTGCTCTGCATCATACTGGATTTTACAACATTATTCGACATTGTTCCTGATTATATGGGACACAGTTTCAAATCCAGTTGGAAAAAGACCTCTTGAACAATAGGGGGACCTTCGACTACCTGTTCCCGTCAAGGCCACTAGAGAGAGGGTGGCTTTCAGGTAAATTCAGGTCAATATAGATATGTACAGAATTATATGCAATATTATTCGACGTTTTGCAGCGTTATATAAAAAAATCATTAAACATTATACAACATCTTGCCGAATTATACAAGATCCTACAACATTCTATACCATCGTAGAGCTTTGTTCACTATACGCTATATCACACAAGACAGTACTCGAAGTGATAATATTCCTTAATATTTCAGAAACTTCTACTCATTTCTTGTTCTTGTGCTACATAGCCTTCCCGGTTTGGTGCCTTCTTTTGATAATTACTTACTTCTACTCAGTTCAAGGTTCCTGGGTTTAAATATCTGAATGTAGAAGTATATTATGTTACATGAAGGTGAAGAAAAACCTTACAAGAGGTTGAGGATAATAAGAAGCCTGACGCTTCCCGCTAGACAGGTCGCTTATACATCAGATCCACTGACGACTCTAAAGTCTGCCCCAATCCTCAGTAATGGAGAGCTAAGCGCATCGGATTTTCTCTGATCCCTTAGCGCGCGCGAGCCTAACGTAAATCATTAAAAACAGTCACTCAGGATTTCCAATAATGTCTTCTGGTATAATACTTTGGGAGCAACGGCCGTGAAGGGGGGACGGGCCCCCCTCAAGAAAAGAAAAG